ACATTGTGATTCTACCATTTCAACTCCCGCATAGGAAGGTGCTGAGGTAGAGAAGGAGTTAGGGTGCTTTGGCATGGTTCTGTTCTTATGTTTCTTTTTCATTGCCTGGAACCAGTCACCTGGTGTCAACCTAGCACAAAGGAAGTTGGGAAATGTAGTCCATGAAGTACAGTACACCAGAAGGAAGTACATGTTGTCCTTTACACAGTCTCCCCCTTATCTTCGAGATGTACCCCTAGTATCTTATTTTGTTCTAGGGTGAGGACAGGGTGGATGAATTGAGGCAGTGGGCAGAGACAGCCTGGGGTGTGCTTGGGGCCCCTCCAGCATCTTTGCAGCACCACAGGAGGTAAGAACTGAGGCCAGAGAGGGATGAGGGACTTGCCTAGGGACAGCTAGGCATCTAGCGTACAGAACAGGAAGACCCCACCCCCAACTCCTCTCCTAGGAGCTGCCCTGGCAAACATATCAAGGAAGCTTGGTGTTTTAGGGCAACCTGTGGGAAAATCCACCCTTAACATTCAAAATCATTTTGTAAGTCAAAAATTTAAAGAGTATCATGCACAAGGTGCCTCTGAATGAAAAATCATGAGTGTTGTACAGAGAGCCAGCCTCGGGGCTGGTTTCAGACAGCCCTTCGCGAAGTTGACGCGCCTGTATTTAAAGTCAGAGAGTTTAAATACTTCCTGAGTTTTTGCCTTGGATCGGCAGCACTGCAGGTTGGTTCTGTTGGCAAGGATGGCAGGATGGCCTGTGGTCTCCAGGTGCAGGAGCATCGTCCTCACAGCTTGATGTCCCTTCGGTGACTGATCTCACCCAACCACCAGAGGCTTAGAACAAGCAAAAGAAAGAAGACATAGTTTCTGACCCTGAGAAGATGAAATGAGGAATGTCTGTCACTTGATGGCTTTTCCCAAACATGCTCCTAAAACAACTTGAAATGATGTGATTCTGTCTCCTGTGTTAACCAGTATGCAGCTTCCAGTTCATGTCAGTGGCTTAGCATACCTGTTTCTGAAATTCTTTGGTGGAAGCAAGCCTGTGCCTCTCAGGAATGTTATTTGCAGCAGCATTTATGTAAGGCATTGCTTTGGAAAAGACGGCCCTGTGCTTTTCAGAGCATTGAGAAATGATACAGAACTCACAGATGTCATCAGAATGCACCCTGGACAGGGGTATGCTAGTATGTTGGGGGCAGACAAGACTGTTTGTCCTTGCCAGAGGATCACAGCAGGCCAGATGGCAAATTCAAACCTGTCCTCGTGACCACTTGTGGAAAGTGTTTTATAGGAGGGAAGAGAAATTCTGCATGCTGAAGGAGAGGGAAATAAAGGTTGAGGACCATTGAGATGGCGTAGTGTGTCAAAGGTGCCTGCTGTAGAGTCTGACAGCCTTGTTTTGATACTCAGGGTGGAAGGGAGAGACTAATAATTCATGCATGTTACACTCTAATTGCCCCAGGTCTGTGCACTTGTGGGCACGCACACACACTATAAAACAAATATGCAAGTGTAATTTTAAAAATCTCTTAAAACTTTTGAGCCATTTGCTAACTTCCTGTCTGACAGATGATCATGGAGGCAGTTTTGTCATGCCTTTGGAGCAACAGCTTTCAGGTCTGCAGCCACACCATGGCTGTCCTTCATGCAGTGTTGGTGGGGTATAGCAGGATCAGGGTCTGGATGTGGCCCAGCAGAGTGGCAGAGGGGCACTGTGAGCACTCCTGTACTCTGAGCAGATCAGGCATCAGGAGCTTCATGTCCTCCAAAACTCTTGGTTTTGGGGGTTGAACGCAGATTAACATGTGCACGCTCACTAGCACCCATTCCAGGACCAGTTTGGACTGGATTCATCCACAAAGTCCCATGTGTGTGCATTGGGCAGAGACTGCAGAAACGTTCCCAGACTTCCTTGCGCTTGGCTTCCTGCCTCTGTGGACACTTCCTGGGACCACCCACCATTCCCCTTCATTGTGGCCCAGAGTTTGTTTTTCCAGAAGGATTAGTTTAAGAGTAAACGCCATAGGCCTGCTGGCCCTCCCGGAGAAAACTGTTTCTGCGTAAAGTGAAAATTAAACTCTTAAATCTGCAAAGAAAGCTGTTTATCTTACAAATTTATTCCTTTTATTGGACCACACATATCCACGATAGAAAGATAAAAGGGAAGCAGATACGGGCCATCACTTAGAGTGACATATAGCCAGGCATAGGTCATCACAACTTCTGTAAAGCCTTCCAAAGTGGGGTATCGCCTCTCCCCATGTTTGTCTAGAATAGTCTGAGCAAGTCCTCACCAAAGCGCCAGTACAAATTGCCCTTCCTCATCACAAACAGAGCTTCTCTTCCATGCCTACCATGTTGCTCTTGCACACTGGCACCTTGCAGGAAAAGGCTACCGGGGTGGATCGTGGGAAAGAGAGCTTGAAGGAATTTGCCTTCAGAGGCCTGCACCTGCCTGACTTCAGCCTGGTATTCAAGCCCTGCTTATAATTTTAAAAGGTGGCTGTTGGCCCCCAGACCTGAGTCAGGCCACTCCGGGTGTTGGCCTCCAGACCTAAGTCAGGGCTCTCTGGGCATCATGGCTGGTCTCAGGTGGTACCTGACAGAGTTTTAATCTGGCTCATCATCTCTTAAACTGACTCAAAGATCCTAGAAAAAGTAAGTGTGGGTGATTTGAGATGGATCAATGTTATGGAATGAGGATGGTGGGGGTGCAGGGATGAGCTAAGGGAGCTGGCATTTGAGGTGTTCAAATCTGGGTGGACTTCATGCAGTGGTTCAGGGAAGTCTTCCCAGTACTCAGAAGGCTGAGGCAGGAGGATTATGAGTTCAAGGCCAGACTGAGCTACATGGCAAGATTCTTTCTCAAAAGAAAAAAGAAAGAGTAAGGAAGGGAGGAAGAAAGGGACGGAGGGAGGGAGGAAGGAAGGGAAAAGGAAGAAGGAGGAAAATGAAGCATAGGTTCAGAGAGATGGCTCAGCAGTTAAAAGCACATACTGCTCTTGCAGAGGACCTGATTTTGATTTCTAGCACCCACGTCAGGCATCCCACAGCTGCCCATAACTCCAGATTCAGGGCATCCCTTGATCTCTTCTGATCTTCTTGTGTAGAGGCCCATATACAGGCACACAGATATATATCATTAAAAAATAAAAATGTCTTAAACAAAACAAAGCAAAACAATTTAACAATTAGAGGTGTGGCTACCTGGCATACACAAGACCCCAGGCTGCTTTCCCACCATAGCAAAAGGAAAGCCTTTGGAACACTCAACTTCCAGTTGGTGAATGATTCCCAGGGAGACATTGTGTGGGGCCTGTGGGGCCCAGTTTAGCCACACTGTCTGAGCTTTTCATTCTTACCCATAAGTCATCTTTGGGTGCTTCTCATGTTTGTTGGAATGCCTATAAATCTGGTGCTCAGTGAGGTGACAGGCGTTGGGTAAGAGTTCTGGATATGGATAAACCTAATCCTCGCATTTGTAAAAGTTACGAATTCAAAACCCTCTAAGTAATTGTACCCTCCAAATGGATCTTCCAACAGTGACAAGGAGAGTTGGGGAGGATCAGATTGGAAGGAGGCTTTCATTGTACATTTCAGGGGTGATGATCTGCTCACATATGGTCCAAATGCAGAAAAGATGTTCCAAGCCAGGGCGCTTGCACAGTTGCCTGAAGCCAACATCCAAATAAGAATTAAGTGTGTTTGCCTTCATCTCGTTCATGGTCTATAAGTCTGTCCCTTTTGGCCATTAGCAGAGAACACCAGCAATGGATGTTGCAGAATAAAAGCAATTTGCATTTTCCATTGCTTGGAAGGTACAAATCTTCTTTATTCTCAGCTCAGCAGAACTCACAGATCTGCTCATTAGCTCAGAAGGTTCCCTTGTTCTTATAGTGGAATTTACCACAAGGCCTGGAGGGTGGGCTGGAAACCCTGGCCGGGACATCCCCAGTCTCAGGGGCTTGGGATTGGAGGCGAGGCTTCAGCCTCTGCTCTGTGAGGAGGCCAGAGACTTGTGGGGAAGTGAGTCTAGAGAGGGTTCTCTTGCCTCCTCTCCTCAAAGGCACAGATGCTTAAGGCCTGACCCATTCTGTAGATGTTAGTTTCCGGGTACTGCAATAACACACCCCGAAAGACTAGATAGTTTCAGCTTTATTTACTCTTATGTCCTATCATTTCTGTACAAAGGGCAGCCGTATATAAATTTCATTTCACTTTATAATGATTTGGGCTACATAACAAATAACATCAAGATGGAAAATTTGTATTGATACTTTACGGAGGGACTTCTCAAATCGTGGAGATTTCAGTGCAATGCTCAGAGTTTATGGGAATTGGGAAGCTGAGCTTCCGCACATGGCTTTGAATGTGTCACTGTCTGTTTATCATGGGCTAATTGTGGAACTGCATCTCCATCCGTTTTCTTCTTCCTTTCATGCCGTTCCACCAGTCAGGGATGGGTACAACTCCACAAGGAAGCAGCGATCGCTTTGGGATAATTTTCTTCCCTGTCCCAAAATAGCTGGGTGTCTGCCTGTCTCGGGGAGTCAGCTGAGACATGTCCCGGCCCCCTTTGTGACTGGCGAAGCTGCAAGTGTGCTTTTGGTCCTGAAGTGAACTTTCTAGCTAGCCTATATTACGAATTAATCAAATTCCACCAGTGCCCACATTTTTAAACTTTTAGAAAAAAAAATATTTAATAGGAACTAAGCAAAAAGAAGAAATCAAACCAGCTGCTGACACAGCTGTTTCTTCTCTTGTTTAATTCAGTTCAATATAAAGGTACCATATGCTGCTTAAAATGATGATAGGAAAGATGAAATAATTTAAGAGAATAACAAGAAAATACATGAATTGTCAGCATTCTGTCAGATTCAAAGAATGAAATAGACAGGTGTAGTATTGACATGTTTAACTTTGTGTGGTGTTAGCAGTTTTGGTGCGAACAACTCCTGACATGTGCTGAAGTGATGTGAGAATGTTTCTCATCCACTGCAGACATCGGCGAGGAGGCCGGGAGAGCCGCCGGCGGCGTCCAGCAGCAGGCGCTGCTTCGGGACAGGAACCTGGGCTCGGCCATGAAGGACTGCCCGTACTGTGGGAAGACTTTCCGGACTTCCCATCACCTTAAGGTCCACCTGAGGATACACACAGGTGAGAGAGATCTAGGTGTATCCACGTGTCAGGGAGTAGCACTTAGAGACGAAGTCCCGAGCACACATCCGTATGAGTCACCAGCGTTGTGTGTCACCCCGGCTTCCCACTGCAGTCTCCACGCAGTGTAAAGAAAGAGAGGTTGGTTCTGGCTGGTAGGTTTTGCTCATGTTCAGATGGCTCCGTTGCTTTTAGGTCAGTGGCAAAATCCAAGCAGACCAACCACTCTAAGAAAAGGCCTCAAATGACCACACAGACTGGCCTGTGGCCAGCCTTGGGGCTGAACAGGTAGAGTCATTGTGCTTACGTGGTGGTTAGGTAGTTCACCACGTGTTGCCTCAAGAGAAACCTAGAGGCATTCTCAGCCAAACAGAGAGGATGGCTGCAGGGCCACTCTGGCCTCTCTCGTCTAGATCACTAGTCTCTTACAGTGAGGCCATCCTTTTAGATCTCTGCCTTGTTCCCCGGCAACTATTCTTTTCAGCCTTTCTGCTAGTTGCTTGTGTATTGCCAATATATATAAAAAAATCTATCTGAGTCATGGACACCTCCATTTTCTTTGATTTTTCTCCTGACACTTTATCTATTGGAATATGAGCTGCTGCAGAAGATAGACAAATATGCCATCTATTTTCAAAAATAATTGTGTTCTATTTCCCACAGAATCAATAACTCTGCTCAGAGACGGGCAGAAACAACCAGTGTATACAAGTCTTGTGTGTATCAAAATGATGAGGAACTCACCGCCCTCAATTGGTTACTTACCTGGTGCCCCCAAATCTGACACCCCAAGGAACCCTGAAGATAGGTGACTACTTCTTCACCAGTAGTAGCCTGGGTGTGGTGAGCATAGTCACAGCCCCACCAGCCTTGGAGCATGTTTCTCGGGAGTCATTGAAAGTCACATGCTAGTTACTTTTTTCACTGTCAAAGCAGAATAAATATAAAGGAGGAGAGACTTGATTTGGCTTCTGGTTCAAAGGTTACAGCCCCTCCTGGAAGGAAAATGACAATAGAGGACGGCTCTGTCTGCGGTGGAGGGGAAAGCTTGCTCCCACCTCAGCAGGCAGTAAGCAGAGATCTCCAGCCAGAAGCAGGTCCACTCCCACAAGAGCCAGCTAAGCCCTATGTTCCAAAGGTTCTGCCACCTTTCAGAACAGCGCCATCAGCTGGGGACCAAGTGTTCAAACACCCAAGACTGTGTGGGACATTCACATCCAAAAACGGAACGGAGGGGCGTTTTAAGACTGTGCAGTGAGTCCCACTGATCTCCCAAAGGGCTTTGCTGCAGTCCAACCTGCTCCACTCCTGACCCCGTCCTCACCATCAGGCACCCTTTGTCTTCTCCCTTTCCCTGCAGTGCAGAGCGTCTGTCCCTGCTGTAGGGCCTCCTCACAGCCACTGCCTCTACCTCAAATGTTCCCCTTCCAGGTAGTCACCCAGGACTTACCTCAAATACGAGCCTTTCTCTCACTCTCTCTATTGAAGATACTTCACACCCCCTGCCTGATTTTTTGCCATGAATGTAACATGTTGTGATAAAGCCTGCTTTTGCTCCATTGTTCCTTGTGATGGGCATTGTCTCCCTCCAAGCAGAACCTCAGACTTGTGAGGGTCATCGTTTGTCCCACCTTTACCATTGTTATTCCTGTAACCCTGTTCCTGAAAGAGTTCCTTACACATTGGCAAGTGGGCGGGGCTACTGAAATTATTTTCCATACATTCATTTATCTATTTGCATGTGGATGTGCTTGGACACACCACAGCATGCACGTGGAAGGAAATCGAGTTGGTTCTCTTCTGCCATGTGCCTCCCAGGGATTGAGCTCAGGTTCTCAGGCTTAGCAGCAAGTGCCTTAACTGTCTGCGCCAGCTCCCCAGTTAGAGGGACACACTGAATTTGCATGTGGGGCTGAATGGCAGAACAAATGCTGGAGTTGGAAAGTGACCCTGCTCTTATTAGCCCTGCTCTGTATAAGGTGGCATGGAAGGGCCAAGCCAATAGGGAACGTCTAGAAGACATGAGAAACTCTGAGATGCCTTAGCATGGCTACAAGTGCTGCATTCCTGGGGCCAGCCTTCCCTAAGAGGAGAGGGCCTCTGAGCATCTCTGGCTTCTTGCTCAACTTCCCTTCATTTCCCTGATTCACTTCTCTCCACAGCTCGCACCCCATCTGGCACACTCAAGCATTTGCATTTTGTAATTGTCTCTCTCCTTGACTATAGTATGAGTTTCATGAGAGCAGAGGCTTCTGTCTGTCTGTCCAGCTGTGTCTCAAGGAGGGCAACTGAGCCTGGCTCTCAGGAAACAAATTCCCCAATGAACGAAGCAGTAAATGTAGGAGGGGAAGTAGCCAGCCTCCCTGGGAGTAGTCACTGTCATCTGCACAGACACCTGATGCTTTCAGGTTATATCAATGTCGGCATATTCGTCTTCCTCCCGAGATCAGAGGACAGCAGTTAAATGGGTGGGAGTTAAAGCACATTGAAATGCTCAGGACATGAAAGCAATCTGTGGGGCACCACTGTTGACTGTGCACAGGGGAGTGGACACTAGACCAGGGATATATTGGAACTGATTTTAGCTCACTTGAACACACAGCCCTGGGGAGAGGGTCAGTAAAAGTTCCTGGTGCCTGTCACCATGGAGATGAGAGTGGGGTTCATACCCACCCTACTGCCGGGCAAGGAGGCTTCTGCAAGTATGGTGAACCGCACGGCAGCAGGTAGATGCTGCTTCCTAAGGTTTTAAACTTGGAGACATATTTGTTTCTTCTTTCTATGTCTATGTCACAGACTTCCAAAGTTTGTGACACCGAGAAGCAAGACAGGGCCAGGAGCAGCAGCATTCCAGAAACTTCCTCCATAGGGAGAAAATGAAAGAAGCCATGGAAACATCACATTTCCACCGCCCTGCCCCCAGAAGCAGCATTTACTGGGTTTAAAAAAGCAGAATGGAGACCAGATAAAGATCAATTTTCTTTTTATCTAAGAACAAAGAAGTTGAAAAGCGCTTACACTCGTATGTCTGAATCGAGCAGAGAGTGTTACACGTTAGAAATCATGGAGGTAAACACCCATTGCCGCAACGTGAAGGCCTGGATGACACACACAATTAAAACAATCAAAACCGAGTTACTTGCTAATACAGGATTTCACGTGGGGCTTATGTGGCCGAGCAGGGGTAAAATGCCCTCCACTTTGCCCCTTGGGTGTCCGTGCTTCTAAATGGCATGGCTGGAGGACAGCAGGCCATGAAAAAAGGAGCCTGCACTTCCAAGTGCCACCTCTGAAAGTCCTCCTGTAAGGGACGCATATGAGGGCATTTAAAATCCAACGTATAATGAATACGATTTAATTGGTTTGGCTCTAGGAGGGACCATTCTCTGTATTTCTCTATCCCACTCCATCTTTATTAGAAGTCTTGATCGTGTGACATCGACTGATAAAAACCATTTTCCTTTCTTTTCTCCACTGCATTAACTTAATTACTGCTCTTCTTCTCCCAACACCTGTTTATTAGAGAGGCGCTGAGTAGAAGCAGCGTTCAGACGGCTCTGAACATCTGGGGGCTGAGGAGAGCCTGCAGGTAGCTAGGACATTTCTGTGGCCCTCCCCCCACCCCAGCTTACGACAGATGGGTGGGGGTTGGGGTGATGGGAGGTACCTTCAGGACCTTTGGAGTCCGGAGCTTCACTCAGTTCCCAGAGATTGTCCCCTCCACCCCCTGTTAAGGCAGCATCCCTGCCACCCAACGTGGAGGAAGGGGAATGGGGCACTTCCGCTCTGGGAGATGCTACCCTGGGCTGATTCGGACTCAATGACCAGATCACCTATGTCAACCCTTCTATGGATCAAGGGTTATGATTTAAATTCAGATCCAGTCAGCACAGGCTGAACGGAGCATGAATCAGAGTTCTCAGGGAAATAGACCGTGTCTGTGGTGGCTATATAGGCTACACTGCACACTGACTCCCTGTTGGGCCAGACTGTAAGGTGGTGGTTGATTATGGCAAGGCTGAGGCAATGTCATGAGTCTGGGGTGAGCCAGCTTCAAGGCCAGCTTGGGTTATACAGTGGGACTCTGTCTAAGGAGAGAAGATTATAATGGAGCTGAAACTCCCATCACCTAGTAAAATGGTAGTTTCAAGCACATATTTTATTTGTATGACAGTAGAAGTGTAAACTGACCCACTACCATCCAGTAGCACAAGAAGTCATGCTCAGAACTCTAAAGGACTGTCATTGGCTTCCTTTCCCTTCAGTAGTAGTGACTGAACTTAGGGCCTCACGTATGCTAGGCAGGTGTTCTAGTGTGCTACCCTTGAGCCACAGCCATTACAGACAGCAGTCCGGTGTATCTTGTGTTTCCTGTGTCTCTTGATTTCGTGGAGGGACAGACCTACTGCCGTCTGGGTCCGTGTAAGTCCACTCTGCCATGTGATATTCTCACGGAGGGGAAGCTGACTGGTATGCATCTGCCATTATGCATCTCCGTCATTAAGGGTACAGTACTTTATGTATATGATGATTAGGAAACTGGCTTCTGTCATCGCAGAGCCTGAGGTGTCCCAGGTACACACAGATTCCATTCCTTCTTTTCTATGCCTCCTGGCCTAATACCACCTTGGGAAATGGGGTTCCAGAGAAATACTCAGAAGGGTCACATACATCCATTTCTTGTGCTGGAGGCTGGGAGGTGCTGATGGTTCCTGGAGGTCTGTGTTTGCCACTGATGTTCCCCCATCCCAACGGGCCATGGGTGCATCATCCCATTCTTTGTGGGCCGTGGACCAACAAGTCGGCTTTGCTATCCTGACTTATACATGTGGATCCAGATCAAAGAGCTGTGGCTGCAGCAACGACCATTGCAGAGAAATGCAATCAACAACCTCACTGGCGAAAACTTGGAGGCCCTAAAGTTCAGCAACTAATTAAAAATAAATCTCATTAGTTTCTTTCCCCTCTCAAATTATGTGGGCGGTTTATTAATCTGGTGG